AGCTGTCAGGGTGAGCTTATTCAAGCCAAGTCACTTCTCTCTTTAAAATACTATGCTGAGTGAAGTAAGTCAATCAGAGAATGACAAGCATTATATGGTCTCATTCATTTGGGGAATATAAAAAATAGTGAAAGGGATTATAGGAGAAAGGAGAGAAAATGAGTGGGAAATATCAGTGAGGGAGACAGAACATGAGAGACTCCTAACTCTGGGAAACGAACAAGGGGTGGTGGAAGGGGAGGTGGGCAGGGGGTTGGGGTGACTGGGTGACAGGCACTGAGGGGGGCACTTGACGGGATGAGCACTGGGTGTTACGCTATATGTTGACAAATCGAACTCCAATAAAAAAACATACAAAAAATAAAAATAAAACTTTTTTTTTCCCTAAAAAATAAAATTAAAAAATAAAATATTCCAGTCGGGATCCCTGAGTGGCTCAGCGGTTGAGCGTCTGCCTTCAGCCCAGGGCATGATCCTGGGATCCGGAATCGAGTCCCACATCAGGCTCCCTGCATGGGACCTGCTTCTCCCTCTGCCTGTGTCTCTGCCTCTCTCTCTCTTACTCGCTCTGTGTCTCTCATGAATGAATGAATGAATGAATGAGTAAATAAATAAATATCTTTTAAAAAATTAAAAACTCCAGTTACTCCCCATAAATAAAGTGCTTACCATGGCCTCAAAGGCCCTGTCTTATCGGGCCCTGGTTACCTCTCTGACTTTGTCTACCATCTCACTTAAATACATTGCACTGGCCTCCTTGCTGCATCTCAGCCGTGACAAGCTCATGGATACCTTAGGGATTCCGCACTTGCTGTTTCCTCTGCCTGCAATACTCTTTCCTGAGATGTCCTCCTACGTAGAATTGAGAGCACACTTGGAGGTAGGCTGTGTAAGTTTGAATTTTAGAGTTGTCTGACCTTGGCCAAGTTATTTAACCTTTTTTTGCTTCAGTTCCAACATCTATAAAATGATAAAATAGGAGCTACTTTATAGAGTAATTATGATGAGATGATTTAATATACGTAGATCATTTAGAATAACACCTGCTCTATAGTAAGCACTATGTGTTAACTATGATAATTATTATTACTTCACTAGGTCTCACCTTAAATGTCACCTGCTCAGAGATTATTTAAATCGTGGTAGAATCATTAGAATGGATAATGAATATGCAGCCTTCTAGGGGATCTATTTCGAAGAGGACAGCTCACTGTGATGTAGAGACAACCCATGTGTAGGAAATGTCTTTTTGTGAATGTCACAGGAGTACCCCTTCGTTGTGGTTTTTTTTTTTTTTTTTTTTTTTTTTTTTACCAACACGTGGGATCCCCTTGCCCCTGCTTTCCTTTCCCTAGTCAGTCTCTCTTGTAGGATCTACTGCTGTCCAGTATTCCCTCTACAACTCCAGATCATGTCAATTCAGGCAGGGATCTTTGGAGACAGACAGTTGGGGACCTGTAGTGATAGACATAAGAGAGAGAATTATCTCACCACTACATCCTCCCTTCCTTTTTGCCTCAGTGTGGATTTCATAGGCAGCATCCATAGCTCTCCATTTTCTCCTCTCACCTTTATCAAAATATTGGGAAAAATTTATTGACTTTAAATATTGTATCTGCTATTACCTGTGTGGGTGCATGCTTGTGTGTGTGTGTTTAAACTTTCCCTTTAGAGTGAAAAGGAACAAAAGGAAAAGGGCAAAAGAGATTACCTTTTAACTTCCTATTTGTTCTCATTGTTCTTATCAGCAAGCTTTCTTTAAAACATCTAGACTTCTGTGGTATCCTTCGGGGACAAGAGGATAGGGAAGTATTGTGAGGCTTGCCCTTGTTTTGTGGAGAAAATACTCAGTCATCTGAGATGACAGGCTACAAAGGAAATGGATAATGAGGAAGGGAACTCACTGGGGCCCTCGAAGCAGGTAGGTTTAGAGAAAGAGGGTAATGGGACCACTCAGGCTGAGAAGGCTCCAAGGTTGACGCATATCACAAACCCTTCTCCACTTGCAACCCTATATACAAGTGGTAGAAATTCTTACCCAGTGACTTGGAACTGGGAGTACCTACTCTCAGTGCACTGAGAGGAAGTATGGAGCCATTGAAAATCCAGATCTAATGCTCCCAGCCACAATGAGAAGAGGTGTGTTCTCAGTATTCTAACATCATCTACAAACATAGTAGCAGGCTCTTTATATTATGACATATTTGAGATGCTTTATGGAAGTTAAATTTTTGGAGCTCAGTCCTTCTAGAACTACACATTTACACTCTAGTATATTTATCTGTCACATTTCGATTTTATTTTATTTTTTATTTTATTTTACAGAGAGGGAGAGAGTGAGCATGAACTAGGCGGGGAGGAGCAGAGGGAAAGGGAGGCAGACTCCCCACTGAGCAGGGAGCCCAATGCGGGGCTTGACCCTAGGACCCTGAGACCATGACCTGAGTCGAAGACAGATGCTTAAGTGACTGAGCCACCTAAGGACCTCTTTTTTTAGTTATACATTATCTTTTTACATATATGTACTATAAAGTAAGCTTTCAAGTCCAAATTTGATCTAACAGTGATTCACATTATAGCTTTGCATGAAGCAGATGCACTTATTTCATTGGAAATTTTCTAAAATATTTAGACCATGGTTTATTGGATTTTAGTAATCTGGAGGCGAGGATAAAATAATTGAATATCTAAATCTACTAAAAAGATTTTTGCTTGTATATAATTCTCTGTGTAAGTTGACCTAGAATAACTTTCATATTTTTCCTTTTTTTCCCCTTTGGTAAAACCAGAAACAGGAGCTATATGAAGTAATTGAACTATTGGTAAATATTCCTAGTGATATTCTCAGTACCCAAGAGTTTCTGTCTTAATTAGGACAGAATAGCCTTTAGATGAGATAGGCGAGAATTGTGAGACCAGTTAATGGATTAGTCTCCCTACTTTGCATCTCATTTTTGTGAGAGTAATATTTTCAGTTGTAAAGTCCATACTCGCTTTCTTCCAACTGGGGAGATTTTTGTGTCATGGCCTAATACTTCCCTACTCTGCTACATCTGTACTCATTAATGAGTAGTAGTTCTTGTAAACCAGAAAGGAAAAACAAAAACAAAACCCTATCGTATGTATTTAATAAGTGAGGTCTGCTTCTTGAATTCTTCCTTGCTAGTCCCAATCATAACAATTGTTTGCCTCCCAGAAGTGTGCAGTATCCTGGAGGGGAGTATACTGACTTGTGTGCCCACTGGGGCACCCTCAGCCAGTGACCTTGTACACTGCCTGGGTGTATGTGTGGGGGCTATTCAGAGGTCTGTTTTGGGCCATCTTTCCCTGATGATAAATGTCAACATGCCATCTGGCTGTCTGGAAAGATCCAGATAACCTCCTTGGTGATTTCAGAGTGTCTTTGGCCTTTTATAATGGATCAGTTCCTTTATTCCTTCAGTTTCATGAGTTCCAAAGGCTTCCTTCCCTAGTTCTTTGTTTTTGTTGTTGTTTTGTGAAGGGAGAGCGCACAGAGTTTCTGCAAACCTTGATTGGGATATTTCTGTATCCACTCTCACAATATATGTGGGCAAATACCCTCCCAGAGTAGAAGTGTAGCCTTTGTCCTAAGACCATTCAGACCTTTGAGGTATAGATAGAATGATTCCCTGGCAATTAGGACCCTACATTATCATTATTTAGCTCTTTAAAGGGAGGACTGGATATCTAAAATTTGTAGACATCTGGATAACCTATTCAGAAGTTTTTACACTCTTCAAAGCTGCCAAGTTACAGAGGTCTAATGTGAGTTTCTTAACTGCCTATGTCCTTACTGTAGTAATACTCCTCCAAGAGTTGACACTTCTGGTTAATAGCACATAAAGGGATGATTGATTAAATGGAACCTTAGTACAGAGCATACTTCAATTCATGTTTGCATAGAGTGATTTCCAAAAGGTAGGTTACTTATAAGATTGCATACTGTATGATTTTGTCGTTACATAATGGAATGCTTTTTTAAAACAGACTTGATTTTTAGAGCAGTTTCAGGTTTTAGAAAAATTGAGATGATAATACAGAGTTCCCCACATAGCCCATATCACCCCAATCACACACATTTTTCCCTATCATTAACATCTTACAGTAGTATATTTGTTACAATTAACAAGTCAATTGATATATGATTATTAACTAAAGTCGTATGTACTCTATTCAGATTTCTTTAGTGTTTACCTAAAGCCCTTTTTTCTCTTGGGGGATCTCATCCTATATATCACAGTATATTCAGTTATCTTGTCTCCTTGCACTCCTTGTGGGTGTGACTGCTTCTCTGACTTTGCATTTTGGTGTCCTTGGTAGTTTGGCGCAAGTAATCATCAGGTATATTGTGGATTGCTTCTCTTGGGATTTATCTGATGTTTTTCTCCTGATTAGACTAGAGCTGTGAAATCCTTTGGTAAGACTGTTTAGCTTTGTAAGAAATGGCCATGCTGTCTTCCAAAGTGGCTGTATTATTTTGCATTTCCACCGAGCAATGAATGAGAGTTACTGTCACTTCATGTGTTTGTCAGGATTTGGTATAGTCATTTTTTTGGACTTCAGCCATTCTGATAGGTTGTGCAGAAGTTGAGATGTAATTTTTAAGGTTGGTCATTTAGTCTTGCTATCATGTTTTATCTGACTTTGGAAGCCTTAGCTTTCTCCTGATATTTCTCTTCAAATCAGCATTGAGAAGAATATATGTGCTTTTTTCCCATATGAATAATTGTTAACAGATGTTTAAATAGTATTTCGCATAATACATTAAGATAAAATTACCTATTCTTTGTGCTTTCTTATTAAAAGTAGCTTATAAGCTACATACTATTAGTGTTAAGCTACATTCCATTGATGTTAATGTCTCATGTTTAATTGCTTTTGTTTAATTTGTTATTCTCATTTTCCATTCTTCAGTCATTTTGCTTTTGTGTTTGTGTTTCTTTGTTTATAAAGTTTTTTGTTTCTGTTACATTATGTAGTTTTGTACCAATGGCTAGAAGCAGATCGTCATGGCAAGAGCCAAGATGCTGCAAATACGACTTCAGGTAAAAATAAAATAAAAGTAAAAATAAAAATTGAGGTGTTAGAAATCCTTATTTTAATTGACCCCAAGCCCATAATAATTGGTTTTTTGTTTTCATTATTGCTTGGGTAAAAAATAGGTATTATTTTGTATTTTTGTTCTCTCATCTGCATCTTAATTTTTATAAAGACCTCATTTGCTTCATGCCTTGAAAAAATTATTCACTAGTCTTAAGCTCTCTTGGCAGATATATACTATTTTCTGAGGAGGAAAGGCTGAATGAATTGCAGCTTAAATTTAGTAGCAAGTTACTTAACAGTATTACTTGGAATTAAGTTTATATGTGTTTGTAGTGGGGGATATTAATATTTGCACAAATTTACAATCCTTGATCATTTCAGGATAGTGTTAAAAAAAGGTAGATTTTAAGTTTAAATAAAGGATGTTTGTGTATAATTTCAATTGCCTGGGAACCCAAATTCTTAGACTGATTCATTTCTCCTGCTAAGTCTTAGAAGTAAATTCTAAGTTAGAAATTCATTTTTAATATGGGTTCAAAATGAAAAGACTAGGTTGTTCACCCATCTCCCATCTTCAGAAGGCTTCTTGAAGATTCTCTTCTTTGCCTATTAATAGTAATGATAACTACATCCACTCATGTCTAAATCCTTAACAGTGTTATCAGAATTTCTACATAGTTGGTTCTTCCCTTAATTTACTTCAAAATGATATTTGCCAAGACAGCTATATATATATATATATATACAGCAACGATCTTTCCTATTGCCCCCTTTTTCCTGGCCGTCTAGTAAGTAGTGGTGGTGACAATGGTGGTGGTGGTTCTATTTTTTCTTTTCTTAGATTTGTGTTTCTTTTAGTGAGTGTTTCCATTTTTTTTGCTTTTGTGAAATTTTTTCTCTCTGAAAAAGGTGATTTTCCTTCTCTCCTGTTGATTCCATTGTGCTTCAAGAGGGTGTGGTGTTCCTTAGTTTATAGAACAATTATATTGAAAATGGCACTCTCATGACTTTTCTGAGTTATCCTCTGCCCATTAATAACTTGATATATGAGTGAAGATAATGTTAGTATTTTACCAGACTCAGGCAGGAATTCATTAAAAGGTAAGTGTTGCAAGGAGTTATATCTTACATTATGTGCCGCTTACTCTGTTCACAAAGTGTTTCACATTTTATTGACTCTTATGATAAAAATAAACATTTCTGTGGGTAGGTGGAGAGGAATTCTTGGTTGCTGTATATTATCTGAGGATATCCTGTTCCTGAGTCGATAGCAGAGCCAGAAGCATAGACCTTTAGGACCAAGAGAGAATTTTTGTTTTGTGTTTTCTGTGATTTAAAGTGAAGGGAAAGTAGTATTTTTTTTTCTTTTTTTAATGAAGAAGTAATCTAAAAATTCTTAATGTTTGCATGAAAATCTAGTATCAGCTTAAAGATGTCGTTTACCCTTCCTGAAATCAGACATTCTGAACCCTAACTCTTCAGGCACGCTAACTTGTGGACACTTCCACATTTTTCCATTGATTTTGTAAGCATGCTCTAGAGGCATGTTGCAAAAACTCATAAACTATCCTCAGGGATGCTTTTAACAGTTTTTCTTCTAGCTGTGAAAGCTATCTATCTCAGAAGATGGAAATGTGGAGTAGAAAGATAGAGATGAAGCATTTGCCTAGATAAGTAAGAAGAATCCAAAGGAAAATAATCATTGGTCAAGGGCTGAAATTACAAACAGTAGGTTAGTTGCTGCAGCAAATCTGTTTAAACTATGTGCCTTTATTCAGAAAAGCTTCTGTGTATTTTATATCACAGTTTCCAACAAGATTTTAGAGTGTGACATTTCCCTCCCTTGTGATCTGTTAAATTTTGCGCTAAAAGGTGTTTTGGTATCCATCTTTTCATACTTTTACCAAAAATGAAAACTGAGTCTAAATGCCCAATTATGATTTATAAATTACTTTGATATCTTTACTCATACAAATACTGGTAAGTGGCATTTATCTTTTGATATGACAGTTTGTGTTTTACGCTTAATTAAAACTTAAGTGGAAAAAACACAGGAGACAGAATGATATTCCAAGGTCTTCTAATTCTTCATTCTCAACTTTTTGACATTGAGAATTGAAGAGCCATCCATCCTAACTTTTTTTTTTGTATATTTTTTTATTGGAGTTTGATTTGCCAACATATAGTATAACACCCAGTGCTCTTTATGGAACTAAGGCATTTGGGAGAAACCGGTCTCCCGGGATTTAATTTGGTCAAGGAGATAAAGAACTGAGGTGACAGCTATAATTGAAGTTTTTTTTAAAATATGTAATAATCAAAGTATAGCCTCCCTTAATTTTTTCCAGAATTTTGGCAGGTAATAAATTTGGCTTAGAATAGCTTGTTTCTTTTCATAGGTTTAGGGTGTTTAAAATGTTCTGTCTACTAAACTAGACAACTCAGTAATGATGTTTCTAATTCTGTTCATTCTGTTACTTGTAAAAGCCTGGGTACAGTCACATTTGTCAGATTTCTGTGGAAGCACAGGCAAGATTGCCTCCTTTGAGCATGGCAGCATTGTATATCCATGTACAAAATCTCAGGATCAGAAGAAGTATGATTCAGGATGCTCAATTTGGGATGTTTCTTTAATAAATTAGATGTGTCCAAGTAGATATTTCATCACCATATATTGAAATAAGAACAATAATTAGGTTACAGCAAAGATCATTTTGGTAGATCTTGATTTTTAGTATTGTTATCTGGCCAGGATGCTGAAATTCAGATTCTGAAGTTTTAAATGCAGTTCCTTTCAGTTGTCCATTGAGGATTTTACAGTTCAGACTATTAGAGGTAGAAATTGAATCAGATTTCAACATTATAAGTCAATATATCTATAAAATAAAAAATAAAACCATGACATGTTTGAAAAAAATTTAGATATTAACTAATTATTAATTATTTATTATAGGTGAAAATTTTGACCAGAGTCCTTTGAGAAGAACATTCAAATCTAAAGTGCTGGCACACTATCCTGAGAATATAGAATGGAACCCTTTTGATCAAGATGCAGTGAACATGGTATGTATGTTTTTTCCATCTTTAGCCTTTTTGTTTCGTTAAGATGACAACAGTAAAAAAAAAAAAAGACAATAGTAAGTATATTTTGAATGTCTACATTATTTTATTTAATTGAATGTTTTAAATAAACAGTTCTGTAAGGTGGATAATATTGTTCTCATTTTATAGACATGGAAAATGAAGCTCTGAGAAGTTAAGTTACTTCCCTATAGTTTCCACAGCCAATAAGTGTATACAACAGACTTTCAAAGCCCATTTTCTTTTTTTTTTTTAAGTTTTTATTTAAATTCCAGTTAGTTAACATACAGTGTAGTATTAGTTTCAGGTGTACAGTATAGTGATTCAATACTTACATACAGGGATCCCTGGGTGGCGCAGCAGTTTAGCGCCTGCCTTTGGCCCAGGGCGCGATCCTGGAGACCTGGGATCGAATCCCACGTCGGGCTCCCGGTGCATGGAGCCTGCTTCTCCCTCTGCCTATGTCTCTGCCTCTCTCTCTCTCTCTCTCTGTGACTATCATAAAAAAAAAAAAAAATACTTACATACATCATCTGGTGCTCATCACAGCAAGTGCCCTCCTTACTCCCCATCACCTATTTCCCCAATATCCCACCCATCTACCCTCTGGTAACCATCGGTTTGTTCTCTGTAGTTAAGAGTCTTTTGTTTGTTTGTCTCTCTCTTTTTTTTCCCCTATGCTCATTTATTTTGTTTCTTAAAGACCACATATGAGTGAAATCATATATTTATCTTTCTCTGACTGACTTTTTTCACTTAATAACATAATACTCTCTAGCTCCATCCATGTTGTTGCAAATGGCAAGATCTCATTCTTTTTAATGGCTGAATAATATTCCATTGTGTGATTACTACCTCTTCTTTATCCATTCATCAGTTGATGAACACTTGGGCTATTTCCATAATTTGGCTATTCTAGATAATGCTGCTGTGAACATTGGAATGCATGTATTCTTCAAAGCCCATTTTCTTTTCCTACTATTAAGCTGTGTTGTGGGTTTGTATTAATTATACATAGATGCTTTGATAAACAGTAATATTTGTTTGCCTGGAAAGGAGCCTGATAGAAGGAGCGTGATTACAGTTTTCATATTTTAAGGAATGTTGTATGATGGGCCTGTAATTTATCATATTCACAAAGAGGAAAAGGAACTTCAATTCATCATTTACACATTAGTAGAAATTTATTTATAAGGACTCTGAATTAATGCAGTGAGTTACCAGTGGTAATTATAAGTACCTTTAGAGGGTCTTAGAAATAGTCATAGTTTTCAGATTATTTAGGAAGGGTCCTAATTAAAAGCCTGGGTAGGGATCCCTGGGTGGCGCAGTGGTTTGGCGCCTGCCTTTGGCCCAGGGCGCGATCCTGGAGGCCCGGGATCGAGTCCCACGTCGGGCTCCCAGTGCATGGAGCCTGCTTCTCCCTCTGCCTGTGTCTCTGCCTCTCTCTCTCTCTCTCACTGTGTGCCTATCATAAATAAATAAAAATTAAAAAAAAATAAATAAAAGCCTGGGTAATATTTTGGGATTCCATGAATGGAATTCTTTGATTATAAAAATCAGAGTGCCCTAAAGTGAGCAAATCAGATATCAGGCATCATAGGCACAGAAATAATTAACAGTGGACTGAGACATTGATAGCTGTAGAGTGTTTTGAGTATTTTAAAGGTAGAGCCAACAGATCCCATTATGCTATGATACTATAAGGGAAAGAAATTAATATACAGTAGATACCTGCTAAATAGTCATGTAAGTTACTTTTGCATACATGCTTACATGTGCCCATTGAGAGTTCTTATTCATATTTTATAGAGGTTACTAACCCATAGTTATGCAAAGAGTCTCAACGGTTAAATCCAGATCATTCTTACTCTCTAGCTGACTTTTTCCCTATCTACATGCTGCCTCCTCCAAAGAAAAATGATGTAACTTAGTTTTGAGCTGCACCTTAAAATGATGTGGGTCACATTGGACCTTTTGTGATATTTCTGTATCACAGTAAATTCATTCCAGTCTCAGTTTGCTGCAAAGAGGGAGTAACATGGTACTTTTTCTAAGTACAAATGCCTAAGGCACTTGGCACTTTGACTTTGATTCTTCACAGAACACAGTATAGTTATTTCTCTAACCAGAGATGCCATTTTGCTGGAAGTTAATACTGTGAGGCCTAGCCTCATCTTTGGTGAAGACAGCATCATAGATATTAAATAGAACACAACTGTTTGTTATATTTATGATACTTGGAGCACAGGCAAGCTTCTAACTAAAATAGTCAACAAACAGCAATGACAAAAAATAATTTATCAGCTGCTGTGCCAGCAAATTAATAGAAAAGTATTAAAGAGTGTCTAAATGAAGCAATGGAAACCTAGAAAAGAATGTAAATAGACTACAACACTTGACTTCTTAAATTAGTAAGATATTTCAGAGTATAAATTTATCTGTGAGAAATTAGAATGGTTCTTACTACAGTATGAATCCATAGTCATTTGGAACAAAATGCCACTTTTTCTTTCTGTTAGTCATTTGAATGCATTAATAATGAGATATCCATGATAACTTTAGCCTTGGTCTGTAAAGCATTCATCTTTAAAGCAGTGATCAGCTTCCTTAATCTGTTTTTGATATTTTCTTTACCCTTGCCTCTGGGGTTATTTTATGTAAGCAACCAAAGTCTTCTATGAAAAATAAACACATAGGCTTGTGTTTTGATGGTTAAACACCACATAGCATTTGTTTATTGCTGCAAATCTAAAAGGATTTGCTGGCATTCCTTGAAAATCTCTGAAAAGCATCCCATTAAACTAGTCTGCATTTGGGTCATAGATTTACTGCCCTTAATTTCCTCTGATTTATTAGTAAGTGCATTTGTATGAAGCTATAATTTATTCCCACCTAGAGGTATAAAGCTTTCTTCTTGCCTTTAGCAAAATCTCACTCCAATGAGTCATCACCTTCTGTAATATCAGTCATTTCTTTAACAAGCAACAGTAGTGCTTTGAAGAAGGATGATTAATTTCATACAGAAATTAAATACTCCAAAGCAGTGAACGTTTTTAAATAAAAAAAATTCCATGAGTGCCATGCAAATGAAATAGAAAATAAATGTAAGGGACAGGTGAAATTGTTTCTGAATTAATTGCTTTCTATGTCTCTCTTGGTTGCTGATTGAGAGATTTTCATGAAAAAAAGGCAAAGGGAAGTATCAGAAAACAAAACAACACCAACAGTCATATACCTAGAACTAACATATTTCAACATTAACAAATTTACTTCAGATTTGTACTTTTTCTTTTAAATGAAGCAAAGCATTGCAAATGGAACTGAAGTTCCCCTGCCTCCCCCTACCCCTGTTTCAGATCTCTGCATATTGGCATCCATGACTATATAATGTTCTGGTCAGTAGAACTTACCCTTAAGAATGTAGAGAACCTAGGGATTGTTAAGAAAATATGATCAGTACCTTTTTAAGCAACTTATATGAAGTATGAAGATTCTGTTTTGTATAACTGTTCTTTTTTTTTTAATTTTTATTTATTTATGATAGTCACAGAGAGAGAGAGAGAGAGGCAGAGACACAGGCAGAGGGAGAAGCAGGCTCCATGCACCGGGAGCCCGACGTGGGATTTGATCTCGGGTCTCCAGGATCGCGCCCTGGGCCAAAGGCAGGCGCCAAACCGCTGCACCACCCAGGGATCCCTTGTATAACTGTTCTAAATGAAACATCTGATATATATTTTAAGTAACTAAAAGAGTCATAACTTATAAAGCTTTTTATAATCTGTAAGCTCTAAGTTTACAATTTCTTATTTACTTTGATCACAAAGAAAGGTAGGGTGTAATGATGAGCAAAGAGTAAAGGATAAAGGGTTGACTGAGAAAAATTTATTTCAGATGCCTATCTTATAAGATTCAAAGGATAAAGAACTATATATACTTTTTAGAGACTCAACAAGTGCTTGAATTTGAGATGGAGAACCCTTAGTTAGATTAATAGGATTGACATTAGAATGAAAATAAGCCCTCATTTTCATCCAGGTTTAAGTTCATGTCTCACAATAAAATTCTAGGAATGGGGCTTTAATCCAGCTGTTACTGGAGGAGCCACTTGTTTTCTTAACTTTGCAGCTGGAATATTCACTGGTGTCTCAAATTTAACATGTCCAAAACTGAATTTATGATCTTCCCACTAGCTTTGGTCAGTAATGGTACAACCATCCACCTGGTTGTCTTAGCTGAAAATCTGGCATTATCCTTGAAGGTTCCCACTTTCTTACCCTCTCCCATGTGCAATCAGATATCTATCTACTTCTCTCTGTTTCTACACACTCACCTTAATCCAAACCCCCAAACTTATGTGGACTTCTGTTTCTATCCTTCCTATTCTTTACACTAAAGCTTCTGCTTCTGCTTTTCTCGGGAAGGCTCTTCCGCTTCTCCTTCCCCTGGTGAATTCTTAGTGACTCTTCAGGTTTCATTTTAAACAATTTTTCAGAGAAGCCATCCCTGACCACCCTTCCACCATTCAGTCAGGTCCCGTCAGGTTCTCTTAGGACCTTTTAGCACCTTGTATCCTTTTGTAGTACCTATCACAATTGTAATTAAGTAATTGATTATGTAGCTAGTTATCAGCTCTTTGTCTCTTGTCATAATGTAACCACCACGAAGACAGGCATACTCTCCCTTATTCATTGCTGTATCCCTAGTTTTACATACAGTAGAGGCTGAAATAATTGACTAAATGAAGGAATGTTTGCTTACTTATAATACTTTCCTTCCCTTACAGATAAGTATTGTTACCTCCCCTGCAAAATCATCTTAAGCAGGAGTATTTAGGTGCTCTCTCTTCTCTGTTTCTATAATGTCTTGAACATACTCTGCAATAGCACTGATCCTATTATTTTATAACCATTGGTTTGTGTGCTTGCCTTTTTTTACCAGACTGTGAACTCCCTGAAGAGATTATTTTCATATTTGTCTTT